AAAAAGAGCTGAGGATTTATTAGTTTTAGCTAAATATGAACACTTATTAGTTTTTTTGTTTTTCATTTTTCAGGTTTGCATCGCAACACCTCGTGTTTCTGAGCCACGATTGAGCCTCTGTCCCGATTACCTTTCCATTGGACCCAAGCACCTGGACCTGCTGACGGCATCCATCAGTCCACGGATCATCACAACGTGGACTAACTTTTTATTTACAGTACTTGGTTAAATTAGGACCAGATATGCAAAAATCTACCTGCAGACTTTATTGGCTACCCTGACTGCAGTCATCCTGGACGGGGCTGAGCCGCTCTTCCTCTCCTCCAGAATGACGAGTTTTCATCACCAATAAAGGCAAACAAGTCTGATGTCTGAGCTAGGAAGTATATTATATATTCACTGACAAATCTAACATTTGTCATTTTGTTATCCTGTTTGTACCTACAATAAAATTTAATCTCATTTGTAATACTCTACATTTCACAAACCTTTTTTTCTCTTTTCTTAGTGTTTACATTATATCAAGTATTTGCATGTAGATCAGGAATTCAAGTGAGATGTTAAAATGCAACACATTTAGGTAATACCAGCAAAGAAATGTGAATATTAAGTAATATGCAGTTAGTCATATAATTCAATATACTGAATAAAGGTGGATATGACAAGAGTTTTTTTTATACCAGATTTGATTTTAATCGATTCCTCCCATCCTCAATTTCTATAATAAAATCAGAAAATACTTTCACAAAGTGCCTTTATTTCAATCAGCTCTTCTGTGAGTTGTATAAGGGAGCATTACGGTCAGGATACAAGAAATTTTAATTGCAAGAATGCAGTCATCGTTACAGCAGAATAAAGATGCAATTTTATAACAATGTCTTAAAATTACAAGAAGTCGTTTTAATGAGAAATAAAGATTCAGATTGATCTGACTAACCAGCTCAGTCCATGTGGTTCTGACATTTGTCAGTAATCAACAGGATGTACATTTCCACCTCACCTGACCAGGTAAGCATTAAGGTAAAAATAAAAAATGGACCAAATACTGTATACAAAACGGAAAAAGAGCAACTGATAGGAATACTTTCTATATAAAGAAAAGCAAAAAGTAAATAGCAGGAGAAAAATTGTTGGCAGCATTAGCTCAGCCGATCCCTCCCTCCAGAAAGCCACCAAACAGAACTCTAATCCAACTCCAGCTATAATAAAGATATAAAACAAAGTTAAAATAACAAATAATGCCAATTTGATAAATCAGATCTGATGTGTTCCTGATGCAAAAAAACGTTCTGAAATTTATCATTGACATTTTACAAATTTCACAAATCAATTAGAAGGTTTCACAAATGTTTTATTTATTCTGCTGTTAGTGCATAATAATCTAGTTAGGTTTTAAATGTCTAGGTGTTGTAGTTTTTAAAGTACAACACGTTAAAAAAGCTCAAGATAGTGAAAAATTAAGTGTAATCGCCCTTTAGCTATTTCCCGAATTAAATGCTACATTTGGAAGCCAACTTCAGATTCGACTGATAGCTACTGGTTGGGAACTATATATATGGATAGATAGATATATCTATATATCTATCTATATAGCATAGATATGTAGATTGCACACTGCACAGATAATAAAAACACTTAACGGTTACATAGCATCTTTGTAAGATTGTCCCTGTTAGACATGAGCCATTATGGTGAATACAAAAGATTTACTAACTTACCTCCAAAGTTACTGTGAAATTTGAAACATCCAGTTTAAATCCTTTGTCGTTCTTTGGAGCGTTTCAGGACGTCTGAATAATTCTATAAGCATCATTAATGGTCCTGCAGGGACCGTGGAGCCACTGTTAACATGCCTGTACACCGGAAGCAGTTTAGGTGGCAAAAAAAATGCGGAAGTGCTAAAACGGAAGTCCGTGGCATATAGTCCATTTGTAGGGTGTTTTGCTAATTCATGATAGAAGTTGCATCTCTCTTTTCGGTTATAATACAATATTTAGTTAAACTTGTTCACGGACATGCCGTCTGCTGTCAGAGAGCTGCTCAGTGCAGAGGATCGTAACTGTGAGTTTAATGTGGGGAGCGACAGGAACACGATCGTTAAGTTTTGTAACGAAATGACCGTGAATTAGCATCGCTGCTAGCAGCTCGTTTCTCTGAAGAGCTGACAGGAATAAAGAAGAGAAAAGCAGAGAAGCTGGTCAGAGATCTGAGCTGCAGTTTAGCACTGACAGAATAAAACAGCAGAACTACATAATATTAGCTTGGTGTGAGGTGAATTTTATTTTTCATTTCAATTTTTCACAAGTGTGTAAATTGGGCCAGCAATACATTTCTATAAGGCAAAATAAAATATCTGGGTTCATTCTGAACCAGAACCTCGAGGTTCTCCGTGTTGCAAATCAGCGGAGAGATGACCGCAGCTGCTGCGCCTCAGACCGTAATATGGAGAATCTCCCCACTGGACCAGAACCGAACCGAATCACACATTAACCTGTTACAGAGAGCAACTTACACTGGAAAGTGTCGTAAGGTGCCTTTCGGAGCTCGGTAACTGTTGTGCTGTTCGTGGCTGTACTTTAATAATCAGACTAAGTTTAATTTGTGGCTGCAGCAGCAGGTGTGTCTTGAACGTGGTTCCAAAACAAAGGCGGCAGTTTTCATTGCCTACCGACAGATAAGGAAACAAAAAGAATTTGGCTAAAAATTCTAAACTGAAAGAGAGAACCCAAAATGCTTTATGTGTGCTCTTTTCATTGTGTGGCTAGAAAGCCAAGGGAAGAAAACCCGGATCTGCAACTGAGTCAGTGAAGTAGCTAACTATGCTAGTGCGTGTTATTTGCGCCCATTTCTTCGAGTCGCCATCCCTCCCTGCATTAGCTGCAGGTAGTTGTAAAACATTATTGCAGCATTTAAGCTGTGATAGCTGGAGTTCCCACATATTTTATAGCATAAATCCTCTGTGGAAAGTCGGTTAGCGAGTTGCTAACATGTAAACAAATGGCGGTTCCGGTTAGCAGCGGAAGTCACGCCCATAAATCACGCCAAGCCTCATGGGGGCTAGGAATAAGGAGGATAGGATTTTTTTTTTTTTAGAATTAATTGAGTAATCCAATCTTTCCCCCATCCCAGTTTGACGACGCGGAAAGCAGAAAAACTGACGTGCTCCAAGCATCGCGCCACACAATTTAACTGCTTATTTGTCCCCCAAAACCTGATAAAACACTGGAAAATTCAACGTCATGCTGCTAGCAAGAAACAACTCATAGGCGGAAGTGACGTCGCTACGCAACACAAATAACGACCCGGGCGGAACACGGTGCGCCAAAATTAAAACATAATTTAACGAGGCTTTGAGGCAGATACATTTTCCTCAAGGGATTTTAATAATCGAGGTACTCTAATCACTCAAAGAATCGTTTCAGCCCTAAACTGATGTTATTAGATTAACAATCTAGAGTTATAGATCTAGAGTCAGAACAGCTTCAGTTGTCCCAGCTGAAACCAGAGATCAGGCTGACCTCTGACCTGGCCCTTCAGAGGCTCATAAACGCAGTTCAAAAGTGGGCCTTCTACCAGCTCCAAAATATTTCTAATGTCTCAGCATCTGAGAAACTCATCCATTGATTACTTCAGCAGCTGCTGGTTCTGATCCGGGTTGGGTAGAACTCGGTCTCAGTTCTACCCAACTGAATGAATCGTATCAGAACTTCCACCATGAAGCAGAACCGGCCGACTGGACTCATAAAGTTCATTTTCTCTGAGAGAACAACCTACAGGCATCCAAGACGGCCGGAGAACCCGGAGCGCCGGGAAGAACCCAAATAGTTAGCTTCACTAACCACTAATTTGCTAAACCACTAAATACATAAATGTTAGCAGAAGCTAATGCTAACCATGAAGTCGTCTGTCTCTCATCTCGCCAACAGTAAAATCCTCAGTTTCTGATTCTGCTGCGTTTTATCACTTTAACGTTTCATGAACGTGACGAGACAAAAAGTTCGTCCAAGTCATGAAGATGGGAAACATTTCTTGATAACTGGTCTAAAAGGCTCAAAATGGCTGTCATCTTAAAAAATGGCAGCCATCTTCAAATGGCAGATGGTAAATGTGAAAAACATCCAGGCTGAGGGTTAGCATGCTAATGCTAATATCAGGAACATGCGGCCCTACTGACTCTGAGTTGGGATGTTTGACCTCTTGACCTCTGGAGGCTCATCTAGTCGGGATGAGACCCAAAGTTCTGACCCAGTACCACTGCCTGATTTCTGATCTGGTTTCTGTTTGTTTCTCATTAATCTGGACCGGACCTGCTGGTTCTGGACCTCGGCGGGTTTGACCCAAAGTCACTCAGATGTTTTTCTTCATCTCCTTTGACCAGAGGGGAAATCTGGGAAAGAGAACCCGGGGTTCAGGTGAGCTTCCTGAACCGGGCCGGCTCTCTGCGGCTGCAGCTCGTTAAGCTCAGCGCCATCGGCGTCTGGAGGCACTAAGCGTCCACAGATGGAGATCAGCGCCGTGGCAACGGCTGGTCCTGATTATCCGTCCAGACGGAAAACCGGCTCCCGTTTGTTCTAAACAAGGTGTCTGCTGTGGATCCAAACAGAGCGAGGCGCAGTAACTCAGCCGCTCCGTTTCCAGGAACATCCAGCAGAGGAATCTGGCTGGGAGCTCTGAACTGGCTCCAACATAAACCTGCAGCTCTACGACACTCCCGGAGGAATAAATCCCATTTCCTGTTTGGAAACATTGCGCTCTTTATGACGGCTTCCATCGCCAAGCCGCCAGACGTCGTCTGGGAGAAATACTGATGGCTTCACCTCAACCTGCACAGGACAACAGCCTGGTCCAGTCTGACCCAGTCTGGTCCAGCCAAATCCAGAACCAGTCTGATTCAACCAATTACCCAGAATTCCCCCTGAGACACCATTATCCCTCTACCTTCTAGAAAGCCTCCAGAACAATCTGGAAAATGATGGCGGCTCGTTCCCTCGGAGTCCGGACAGTTTTCATGAATCCAGGAAACCAGCAACCATGACTTCATCTCGACTAAAAAGAGTCCAGCTCATCCAGACGGTTGGAGTCAGGTAACAGAAACACCTGGACAGGTGACACCTGGTGGCATGTCCTGGTACTGCAGGCCAGCTACTGGCACCAGCAGCTAATCTCACACAGGAAACCAATCCCACATTTCACCAAAGTACGACTTTTAACGCCGTTCAGCCTGACATGAAAACAGTCGGATAAAAGTCTCATTTGGGCAAAAAAAATCAGATTTGAACAATGCATTTTATTCCCCCAAATGCGACTTACTTCCGACTTTACATGGCAGACTGGACGACGCGATTCTGAAGTTTCCACCCGTATCTGGAAGTAAACCAGGTCCGTATGCGACAGGCTCCGCAGCGCCTGCAGGTCGAACATCGCATTTTATCCGACATGCAGCAGAAGAAGACAGACCACAAACCTAAACAATGAAGTGATGAAAGGAGCCCGAGTCAGTGAACCCTTCACACCCCAACCCCACCACTCCTGCTCCGACTCCCCATCCACACAGAACCGGGTCACAAACTTGCAGTCAGACTCCGCTAAAGGCTGCTTCAGCTGTCCACTTCCTGCAAACAAAAACCTCACTTCCTGTTTGTTTCCGTCCTGATGCGGTTAGGCTGCGTTCAGCGTCCTGAGCTGACCAAGCCGCCTGGCCCGGATGGTTCCGGTTGAACTGAAACGACTCAGTCTAGTTTCACTCAGTGACTCACGTCGGTTTGCCGCAGATCTTGCGGTGGTACCACTGCTTGCAGTTGGTGAAGTACTTCTTGTTGGTTCCTTTGATCTGCTGCATGGCGCAGACGTTGGGCCTGAAACAGAAAACCCAAACAGATGTCAGCCGGGTCAGAACCTCTACAGCTTCATTTAAGGAGGAATGCAGCTCTGGTCACAGACTGAACCAGCAGTTCAGCCGGTTTGTGTTCATTCCTCCTTAAATGAAGCTGTAGAGGTTCTGACCCGG